TCTCCCTAAACTTAGCAGTGATCTCCGCTACAGTCTCTGTCGTCTGCTCAAGATCCTGGAACTCCCTCGCTAGCTGTTGCACCTCAATCACAGGTGCAACCTCGGCCCTGAACCTGGCCGAGAAATCACTCCAGGTTATAGCATCTAGAACTGTATCATCCCCAATGGCTCGTCCGACCTCCTCCCACCAATCATGTGCCCTGTCCTTTAGAATACAAGATGCAAGTCATACCTTGTCCCCCTCAGGACATCTACTCGTACGGAATGTGTTGGCGACATCATCCAACCATCTACTGCTAGCGATGGGGTCCCGAGCCCCATGATAGTCGGGAGCTCCACAAGCCCTGAACTCCTGGAAAGTCAGTGTGCGCGGCCCCATAATGGCCGCCACCTCAGTGTGGAAAGCGCTCAGCTTCTCATCCAGAAGCTCCAAAATACCCTCCTTGACCGAACCAAAGATCACAAGAGTCTTCTTTAAAATGTTGCACGTGATCTCAGAAGAAATAAACTCCCTCGTCTGCTCATCCATCTGCTCGGTTCCAGAGCCCGAGCCTGATCCCTCACCAGTGCCTGAAGTGCCAATCGGCCTAGTGCGTAGCGCCACCATACTGAAAATACACCATAATAAACATCAGTATACTCATCATATCTCGAGGGATCTAACATACTATAAGTTTCCTGGATTCATCTCAGCCTTTCTTGATTTGAGTACGGATCCTCTGCTTTCAGTAGTACGGGCCCATACTACCTTCCATATCTATCCGTACTTTCCTCAAGAACTGCCTTGACTCCACCAAGTCCCTTCTACTACTACTGTTGATCTCATGCTGATCTCATCCTAGGCTTGCCCTAGGGTAATCACCAACCCACTCTCTGCCATCAGCTGCATAAGAATTCCCTGCTATCTCCCCTTAACTAGATCGTGAATACTATTTCATATCACTAAGACTAGATAACTCTTCGAATGAGAGATCCTACCCTACAACGGTTGGACTCAAACAAGAGCTGCGCAATAGAGCTAGACCTAACCTTCTGAAATTATTTAATCCTCGCAATATGTAACTTAACATATTCATTTACTAATTAGTAAAAGATAACTAGAACTCCTAAAAGCACAAAGCAAGCAGCATTCGAGCATCGAGTAAACATAATCAAGCATATCGCATTTAGGCCATCACTGACTAATCTATACTAGCATGCGGCTCAGAAAGCTAAGATACATATAACAGGCACATAAGGCATCCTTCATCGATCCTTAGTCCTAAACTAGCATGCAATTCTCATAAAGCTGATACACATATAATAGGCACATAAGGCATCCTTTCTAGATCCTTAGTCCTAATCTAGCATGCAGTTCTCATAAACATATCATAACATAAACTTGTATGGGTAATTTGGGAGTACTTACTTGAGCTCGGTTGATTGCATGCACCACACCCTTTTTCTCTTTTCAAAGTTCTTTTCTTTTTCAAAATTCCTTTTTGGTAAAAATGCTTTTCTTTTGAAGATATTTATACCAAGTCCTTAGTTTGAGTTCAAACACACCCAAGAGCGTGCCCGAAGCCCTCAAACCAAGGCCCTGATACCAACTTGAAACATCCCAAAATATAGACCAAAATTTTCGTTTTAAATCAATAATAAAAACCATCGATAATATCCATCACATAAAATTCATAGTCATGTATCTCAAAAACAACATCAAATCTTTCAATGTATCAAAATCATATATCATAAATCAGAGTGAATCCTCCCAGGCTAAAAACAGTGGTGTGTGCCATGCAGTCATCCCGAGCTCTTCCCCTTACTAGCATAAGTACCTGAAACCAAAACTGAAAACTGTAAGCACGAAGCTTAGTGAGTCTCCCCAACTACCACATACCATACACATAACACATATACATATCTTGGACCTGACCCTGGTACGTTGAGTCATGCTCGACATCGGCTTTCCCAGCATCGAACCTTATTCGGCATCGGTCCCCGCCCGACATCGAGCCTCGCCCGGCATCGAGCAATTCTCGGAATACATAAGAGCATAAACAACAATACACATAAACCTAAGCACATAACATTAACACTTAAATGTTCCTCGGGCCCCGCCCGGCATCGGACCGTAATCTGGTAACATACTAACATTCCTCGGAACCGCCCCGGCATCGAACCGAAGTCCAGAAACATACAATACAAACACATGCAAGAATCACAAAGACATCAAGCATACAAGAATTCCTCAGGACCGCCCCGACATCGGATCGAAATCCAGAAAAGCATATAAACCTACATCGGGCCCCACCCGGCATCAGACCATAGTCCGGAACTAATACTAACTAAACGGGCCGGCCTTGGTACCTTAGACATGTTCCTACTGGAGGAAACCCACCTCGAATGCTAGCTGTGAAATCTCGTGTGGGAATCTCTGACGGCTGCTCCAACGACTCCCCGAACACTTAATCAAAATCTGATAATCCTTCTTAGTGTAAAATGACCATTTTACCCCTGGTCAAAGTCAAAGTCAAGGTCAACTCCCAGTCAACCCAAATCGTCGAGTTATCTCCCAACTTGGCGAGTTCTTGTACTACTCAGACTCATGGTCAACCGAGTCAACTCGTCGAGTCCCTTCCCGGACTCGTCGAGTTCTACATGTCATAAAATCGGGACAACCCGGCTTCAACTCGTCGAGTCCCTTACTGGACTCGCCGAGTTCCCCTGTCTGTTTGGGCTATCTTAATGGATTAAGCCCTACACTTCAGATCCAAGCTTCATACTTCACATAAACCCTGAAAATGTCCTTTTAAGGATAAAGTTTCTGACTTTACCCCTTAATACCCCTTCTTAAAGGGTTTAGCTCAAACCCTAATTCCTTGGAACCTAGAACTTGGTCCTTAAGCCATCCATTCACCAAACTAAGGCTTATAACTTCAGATCTAATCCCCTAACACTACATAGACACGTAAAGTTCCAACCTTTCTCCACATGCATGGCCTTTTGGTGCTAAAAAGGCCAATATAACACTCTATGGCTTGCATGGGGGCTCCAATGGCATAAAGTTTGCACCTTTATGTCATAACAGCCCCTCTAGGTCCTAGATCTGGAATATTATCCACTTTAGTCGTCCATTCTCCAACGGTTATCATTATTGGGCCAAAATCTTCATAAAAGGGGAAGGAAGAGATCTAATGAACTAGAGGTCAAGATAGAAACTTGATTACCATAAAATGTAGCCAAAGAAGTGTAGTTTATGGATCTACTCTCTTCCTCTTGAGCCTTCTAACTCCTTCTTCTTCTCCAAGCTTCAAGAACACAAAAGATAGCTCACAAATGGCTCACACACTCACAAGATGCTCTAGGGTTTCGTGGATTAGGGTTTGGGACAAAGAGGTTGTAAATGGGACCAAGGGGTGGGGATTAAGATGATTAAGTAGGGTGCAAAACCCTGAAATTAGGGTTTCATTTTGGCCGATCTACCCGCCGAGTCGAGGGCTCTTGACTCATCGAGTAGGTAGCTTAAACCCTGCGCATAATATGCCTTCTACTCGACGAGTTAGGGCCACCAACTCGTCGTGTCCCTCTCTTAAAATGAATAAATAAATAAGTTAAGTGCATACCAGGAACCATGCATTACAGAGGGGATTAGCTATTGACAAATTGGGGGTTGTCGTGACTCGTGGTTAGTTCCGATTGTTTTAAATGGTTTATTTGGGCTTGTAGTTGGGAAGTCAAAGTTATTGTTGGGGATGTAGTGCCATATGTTGCCTATTTGGCAACGGTATACGGTGGTGATGGTGTCGCCAAAATGGTTGTGGGTTCGATAAGATAGGTAGCAGAGTCATCAAGAGTGAGTGGGGTAGTTGGAATGGAGGAAGCAAATGGCAATATTATTGGTATAGTTGGGTATGCCAAGGAATATATATATATATATATATATATATATATATATATATATATATATATATATATATATATATATATATATGATGATGATGATGATGATGATGATGATGATGATGATGACGACGACGACGACGACGGCGGTAAGTTTGGTATCATGAGGTGGTTTTATTGAAGGTTACATGTTGAGAAATAATGATTTTGTTGGTGATAAGGTTATGACATCGATATCTCCGATAATGGTAGGGATAAGCAAGGAATACACATGGGGTTGTATGGGTGAAAGCTTATAGGGGGTGGTGGTGTAAGGGTAACATATGCATCTAAACACAAGTGCAAAATGTGAAGGTTGTTGGAGAAGTTTGTGATGTGGAGTATCGTTTTAGAGTGATATGTTTCCACATGAAAGAACGAGAAGAAAGAAAAGTCGTCGAGAGAGAATAAAAAAGGTCGATGGTAGGTAGTCGGTTTAGGTTGACGACAACTAAAGCTCACTGGAGAAGGGAAAGAGTGAATTTCAAAAGAAATGAGATTACTACTTTGATACCATATAAACAAAATAATTTCCCATGGTCCATCTCTTCTCATTAATGGACAATATATTGTAACAATACACCCGAGATATACAAGGCACAAGCATGGCCGAATGGGCCTAAGAGCCTAATACAAATGTCAAATAATACAATAAGGTTAATACAAATAGTACCAAATACACATAATAGATAATACACTAGTAAATACTACATGAAAACAATTTGTAAATAATGCCATTAAACATTAATAAAACCCACGATCGATGAATATATATGCGATAACGATAAGTTATCTTCACACAAAAAAAAAAGTCTAAAATATCTTATAATTTTATTAAATAATTCCAGTGAATACTATAAAATTGTATTAACAAATATCTTTGGCGTACATACCAACCAATCATTAAATATGTTGAATTTAACTTCATATACATGTACATGATTGCATTCTAAAAATGTTTCTTCTTGATTTTTTATTAATTAATATATGCAACATTGCAGAGTAGTTGGTCCATTACAAAAATAGCGAACATCATTCAATACTCAATACTCTGGATTTTTGTTTTAATTTTTGTTAAATTCTCGAAAAAAAATAGTATATAAAAACCAAATTGTAACCCTACACGGGAAAAACAAAAATCAACGGTAGCTTCAAAATCTATTTGATTACAGATTATTTTATTTAATTTTTTTTTTTTTTTTTTTGATATATTGTTTAACAGTAATAGAAATATCGTACATAAAATCTTTCATGCTAAATCAAAATCACTAATCATGGCAAAGATGGAAGGATCTTCCCTGAGCATGTACCAAATCCAACATTGTACTCGTTTCCCTGCATAACATTTTAATAATTCACATGAACCAATTCTTAGACACAAATCCATGAAAATTATATTACTAATATTTATTTATTTTTAATTGATTTTAATTATACCTTGCAGATACCACTGATAATAACTTCATCTCCATCTTCCAAAAATTTACGGCTTGTTTTACCAACAGACAACTCTTTTGTTCCATTCCATGTTAACTCCAGCAAGCATCCGTAAGACTCAGCTTCCTGTAAAAATCAAGCAAACTTTCTTGGGTTATTTGCAATGATGATGAGGAGGGGCATTTACGTCTTTTGCACCAAAACAACTTACGGGCCCACTGATTGTTCCGGTTCCAAGGAGATCTCCAGGTCTCAAATTACAACCATTTATAGTATGGTGTGCGAGTTGTTGGGTAAGTGTCCAGTACCTAAAAAAAAAATTAAAAAAAAAAAGTTGATTTTTTAAGTCAAAGAACTTCATTTTTAAGTCACATGTGCATTTTCTTACAAGTGGTTGAAATTGCTCCTTGTGACAGTGAATGAGTTTTCTTCTCCTGCTGGTTTTATCCGAACCTTGAAGCAGTAGACAAGTTAGATTTGTAAATAAAGAGTAGTCCAAAGAATTTGCTTGAATTTATATGAACTTTATTTATAATTAAAGCATTAAAATTTAAAACCACACCTCCAAAGAAATATCGTAGTTTTTGGATATCTTTTCTGCAAGATATGGCAAGGGTGGAGGGATTTGAGTAGGAGCATCACAAGCAAATGGTTCTAGAGCATCTAGAGTCACAATCCATGGGGATATTGTAGTCCCTGGAAAACACCACACCACGAGTCAAAACACAGTTCTACTAGCACTGTACATGACATGACAGGACCGAACAGGTTGTACTATGTTTGGCATGCATTGGACTGCGACTGGGACTGCTGTCAATAAGACAAAATTTGAAATTTTTCGTCCCACACAAAAAGGTGGAACAAGGCGGGACACAGACTCGCTCTTGATCTCTCGTATATACAAAAGACGTAATTGCCCTCCTCATCCTCATCATCGAAAATCACTCTCGAAAGCTTGACTAGTACAGTTCAATGAAGTTCAGTCCAGTCTAGTCTTGTCCCGTTACATGGGACAAGACCGAACAGAGTGGGACTAACCGTAACCAGGACAGTACAAGCTTTCTAGGGCTATTTTCAATGATGAGGATAGAGAAGGGCATTTACGTCTTTTGCATAGACGAGAGATCAAGAGCGAGTCTGTGTCCCGCCTTGTTCCACTTTTTTGTGTGGGACGAAAAATTTCAAATTTTGTCTTATTGACATGAGTCACAGTCCAAGTCCAATGCATGTCAAACATAGTACAACCTGTTCTGTCCTGTCATGTCCTGTACTGCTTAACAAACAGGTCTAGATGATTGAAAATGTAGAACTCGTATTTTTCCAAGAGAACAAAATCCCGAATTCTTACCAAAACTTTTCCCAAGAAAAGGACCAAGAGGTACATACTCCCACGCCTGAATATCTCTAGCTGTGTAGAAAAGGCCATGTTTTAATTAATATCAACAGACAACAAAATCTTGTAATGATATATGCAATAAAGTAAGGTGAGTAGAACAGCATACATACCACTCCAGTCATTCATCAGCACCACTCCAAAAATATGATCTGCAGCCTCATTAACATCTATAGGCTTTCCTAGTTCATTTCCAGGTCCAACTACAGCAGCCTTTAAACAATGTAAAAAAAGAAAAACCAGGTGAAGGAATATTATTTCTATATTCAAATCCCAAAATAGGTTGTGTACAACAAAAGCTCACCATTTCCAGCTCAAAATCCAACTTTCTTGAAGGTCCAAAGTATGGTGGAGAATTGCCACTTGGATGACCTTGACCTCTGGAGGAAAAACAAAATAAGTATAAGATTATTTATGCATAACACAAAAACATCTAACGCCATTCAGTTAAATAGATTTATGTTACCTTGGTCTAATAATATCAGTGCCAGATATAACAATAGATGATGCTCTTCCATGATAAGCAATGGGAAGATGGAACCTAAAAAGCCATAGATTTCAAGGGTAAGTAAGTAAATTCATAGAATGAGTCTTTAATTTGTATATATAAAAATCTTGAAATTCCATACCAGTTGGGATTGACTGGGTTTTCTGGCCCTCTAAATATCAACCCACAATTCCTAGCATGATGCTTTGATGAAAAGAAGTCTGTGTAGTCCCCTATAGCAATAGGAAGAAGCATTTCCACCTCATCCTGGAGCATTATCTGTTAAATAAGTTCTAATTCAACCAAAAAAGTTGTACAGAAGAAGATATCTCTTACCATAGGCAAAAGTGCCATCTGTTTCAAACTTGCATTGTTTTGTAAAGCAGGTTCATCAGCTACATGAGGAAATGACAAAAACTTTTTAGGTAAATACTTGTAAACTGAATCTTATATACAAGTTGTTAAAAAATTAGATTTAATGACATCACACATGACAATAGTTTTTGCAGTGTAGCACGAGCTTCCTTCCATGCTGGTCTTCCCAATTCCAGAAAGTTGTTAAGATTTGACTGCATTTGCAACATTTGAAGAAGATGTTAAGAATATTCTTCATAATACACTCTCAAATTTACAGTTTAACGGATATTGAACAAGTATATTTGAATCCATAATCCAATACAACTTATCCCAAAAACATTAATCCAAGCACAGATCAGAATCAGATCATATTTATTTGTTAGGATTGATCATTTAAAAAGGAACTGCTGCTTCAATCATGTACTTTCAAGTTTCAAGCTGTTCTACTTCTTATACTTATTCTTTGATTGTTTCGTTACTCGCCTAAAAGCTAAAGTTAACCTTAATCCAGTACGCAACTGGAAATAGAATACTCCATTCCACAATAACTTCAATACTCAAATTAGAGCTTCATTATAACTAATTCTGTTAACAACTTCGAAGCTAAAATCCTCTAATGTGAGATTAGAAACCTATTATTTCGAATCTAATAGCATGTAAACTAGGAACAATCCATGGAATTTGATCACACAGTTGTACTTCAGTGAAAGTAGATGGATCCAACACGTCAACATCGGGAAACTAATATGAATATGAGGCTGAAAAGTAGTACACTGGTGTAGCAACTAGAAAGGTTGGTAAGTAATAAATTCGAAATGTAAAATTAAATGAAACACAAAACAAAAACCTGATGGAAACAATCGGAATTGCACAGTAATGGACCATCAAACAATCCGGCAGATTGAATTGCTGAGAGATCGAGAACGTAATCTCCGATTGCAACTCCGGGCCTTGGAGTAGTGGTATCAACTCCACCATGTTTGAAGATACCGTAGGGAAGGTTATGTATCGAGAAGTGTGAGTCGAGTTTAACTTCAACAAAAGACTTTAACGCCATAGTTGATCGGACGGAAGAGAGCTTCGCCGGCGATAGGAGTTCCGATGAGAACAGAGCAACACAGAAGCACGAGAGTTGCTAAGAGAAGAGTGAGCTTTAATGGAAAAGAGTTCCCCACGTTACGCTCTCCTTTCTTTGGTGTGACCGCACATATTTACTCGTGTACAAAAACAAAGACGCAACCTAACTTGTACATTTATGAATGACCGAAAACAAAGAAAATGATTTTTATCAACTTAAATCTATAAAACGGATGCTTAAAATTTTCAAATTAGTTAATACAAATAAGATATCAACATCAAAAAGTTTAAGAGTAGATAAATAAAAGTGCTAATCACAAACTTGAACAAAATGAAGAGTTGAATAAAATAATCATATTGTTCATATGTATTAATATTGGGAACATTTTTTTGGGAAAGTAATTCAATTAGTGAATCAATTTTACAAAAACTGATATCAAGAAACACTCTTTCTTCCGAAACTAATTCAACTACTGAACCAATTGTAAGGTGATATGAAGAAACGGTCTTTCAAAATTCTAACGATACCAATGAATCTATATTATTTGGGTTAAGAACATTTTAATGGTAGCTTGTTGATTTTTTTTTATTTTTATTATTATTATTTATTTTTTTGATATTTCAATATTTTTTAATAGTTTTTTTACCATTGGTGGACATTTCAACCTTTTAATTTTAAATTGGAGTTTGTTTACTAGGAATGACAATGATATCCAATTATAAAATTGTATTTCAAATCCGTGTTTTGTCTCATCGGGTTCCTGGTTAGTAATACTCATTGGGTTTGTAGTTATACCGCGGGTGATGAGTATCCCCTACTTATGACATTAATAAGTGAAAATTTTATCGTTGTATTTATTATTACCTAAAAATTAATCACAATCGCATCCAAACAATGATTTGAATTTTATATAGTTCTAATTTCCAACAACATCAACAAGTTTAATCTCTAACAAATGTTACATACATGTAATTATCACCATAAAAATTTATAATATTAGAATTTTGTGATTAACTAATCAAGATCATAACATAAATATTAAAATAATATAAATAATTTTCATTCTAAATAATAAAAATACATAACAAACTTTCTACTTATAAAATCACATATAACATTATAGTATAATTTTCAAATCATATTTAATAATAACAAAGATATAAGTAATACAAAAATATAAATGATTTTAGTGCAACAAAAACAATCATTTTTTCCCGAAACTTGTTTATGAATGTTATAACAATAACTTGTTTATGAATGTTATAACAATATAAAGTCGTTTGAACTTTGAACATACAACAAGAAAAATCAAGTTACAACTCTAAGTGTTATATAATATCTATTATTAATCCACATTAAAAGTGGAAGTTAACTTTTAAGATAACTGACTTTTAGCATTGAAGAACAGTGTATTTGTACACGCCATATGGAAAAACTTCTTCATGTGTTGCACATATGCGACATCATTTACAAAGGTGACATGCAATTCATGTGTAGCCCGACTTTGATGTAATTGGACATGTATCTTTCATGTCATTTTCCTAAGAATCTTTAAGTTAAATATTCCAATCATATAATATATGTTGAATGTTAAAGTTCAACTAGCTTTTTATTTTTATTTTTTATGAGCACACGTGGATCATTAGCAAAGAGAAAATATGTCGGTGTATGTTCTAATAAACAGTTTGCATACTGAGAATGAGAACGACAATTTTCCAGCAATGAAGGTCGTTCGACGTTATTTCTAAGGCGATGCAAAGCGTTTGTTTCCGGTAGTATTGACGTGCATGACATATTCTTAGCTTTTAACCTTTTGAGATTTGTTTTTTCTACTTTTTATTTTTCCTTTTATATAATATTATGATTATAATTAGTATATTTGTACATTCTTTCTTAAATTATAATTGTCTTAAATATGTTCATGATACGATAAAGTCTCATGGTGATTAGGGTTTGTTAGAATTCGTTTTTTAAAAGTTGATTACCAACTTTTATGGGATTGTTTTGGATTAAAAGACTTTAAACATTTTCACATTATGTATGTTTTCCTTTTAATTTTCACCATCACCATTAGTATCTTCATTTTTGTCACAAACCCAAACTTGTATGTCTTGTCTAAGCATATGACATAGTAGACCCCATAAAGTTCTGCCACATATTCACAAATAAAATAACAATCCATTTTAACACGTTTTGTTCTTTTATGATAAGTTGGTTCGTTGTAGTATGTCGCACAACTTAATTGTCACACATTAACAATGTGACATTTGATTGCTTGGCATTGTAGAAACTAAATGATTCAGTGTGAATCATAAGAGGCCAGAACCATTAAGAGACTTGAATGATTCATATTGTGTGGTAAGTTTGTTGAATGGATCCGTTGGATGAGAAAGATTATCATTATATCCTTTTAACAACACTTCCAAATATATATATATAATAATGTATTATTAATCATTTATCATAAATTTAACCTAATTTTGACATCTTGATTATTTTTAATTTATGTAGTAACCTCTAAATTTATATCAGTAACATTTAAACTCTAAAAAATTGATGGAACGATAAAACTCAAACCAACAATTTCCTTAATCATTGATTCAATATATTTTATATTTTTTTTATTAACACTACAACATATAGGGAGTTTTATCTATCCCAACTACACCAAGGGCACCATTGAGGACTAAAAAAATACAAATATAAACAACACCAATCCATTAACTATTAGTCTATCACCCAACAAAAGTTTCTAACCACGTAGAATATCAACAACAATTTGCTTCATTAAGAGCTTCTAAAAACGAAATCGTATACATCACAAATAACATTTAAATTGCCATAAAACAATAAATAGTATGAGGTTCACTACAAGAAATATAGTCTTTAGCGGTGACACTTATCTTTAGCGGCGACAAATTCAATAGTCACCGCTAAAGATCAATGTCACCGTTATTGGTGTCGCCGCTAAAGGCTGAATGACACCGATCCGCTCTTTGACGTTCTGGTAAACACGAACCGTCCGATCGTGGTTCTAATCCAACGGCTAGGGTTCTCGTGGAACGCATAAAGGAAATACCGGCGACTTTTGTCGCCGCTGAAGACCGAAAATAGTCGCCGCTAAAGATAGAAAAATGACGCGGTAATAATTCCCTCCTGATAGTTGCCGCTATTGATAGTTGTCGCCGCTAAAGCCCAAAAAGTCGCCGGTAAAGGCGTCGCCGCTAAAGGTCGACGCAGTTAACCCCAAAAAACTCGATCTTTTCCCTTTTGCTCTTCTGTTTCAGTCCTAAGCCCGTTTCTTTCTCTCGTCTGCATCTCTTGCTTCATCGATTCGTGTGGAATACGTGACAATAATCAATTTTGGGTGAAGATACCACCGGTGGGGAGGGATTTTCCGGTGAGGACCAAGCTTTTTCCGGCGACAGCAAGGTTTTTCCGGCGATACCAAGCTTTTCCGGCGACAAAGAATCGTTTTTCCAGGTCAATTTCCGGGCCTTTTTCTCTTGTAACATCGATTTTAAGCTTATTGGGTTAGTTAATTGCAAAAAATTGTTAATTTCAGTTTTTTGATTGTGTTCCCAACCAACACCCGCGACTACCGCTACCAGTGGACCATTTTCATTGATTTCCGCCACCACAAGTTCTATTTACTTCTATTTGTTGTGAAATTTTAGTTTAATTGCAAAATATGTGTAGTTGTATCAATTATTTGAAAATTGTCATATGTATGTATATTTGATATTTGTATGTGACTATGTAAATTTGGTGTATATATGTCAATGTATGTGTGTTTGATGTATATATGGTATATGAGTATTTGGTAGAAGTATGATGCTATTATCTATATATGTGAAATTATGTGTATTTGGTATAAGTAGGATGTTATTATGTATGTATGTGAATGTATGTGTGTTTGTTGTATATGTGGTATATGAATGTGAAATTTGTGTATTATTGAGAAATTATTTGTAAACAATTTTCGAATTATTACTTCAAATTTAATATTAATTTATAAGAACCAAAAAATAACCATTATTAAATACCTATGGTTTCATTCCTCATTTTCCTTTATAAAACATAATCATTGTTAATTATTAATTGATGTTTTGGAATTAAGACAATTGTAGTTGATTACTTTTACTCGTCTTTTTGAACATTATGTTTGGGCTTTTTTAACTCTTGTTTTTCTAGAAGCATAAAATATAATTTTTTTTTCGGAATCTGAAATCTTTGAAAAATGTTTATTTAACTTTACTTCGTGATATCAACTTCTTTGGTTTTTTATTCCACTAGATTTTTCAACAAAGAGTTCTCCTAATATTAAACAATCTTAACAATATTCATGGAAAATAAAATGAAAAGTTGGTATCTATATATATATATATATATATATATATATCTATATATCTATATATATATATATATATATATATATAAAGTTGTATTTTTTGGTATATCTTATAATTTTTCAGAAAATGATGTCAATATGGCTTTTGTTTGTGTATACCATGGTTGTTGTTATGGACCGCAGACACGGGGGTGATGGAGCTGAGGACCCACTTTTCCCAGGTGGTAGAGGTATTGGTCATCATGAGCAGGACCGTAAGTCTTATTATGAATTTTTATATTACTATTTTTATTCAGTTATTATAAATTAAATACCGTTTCTAATAATTTTTAATTATATGTGTAGTTGAGCAACGTGTACGTAGCCTAGCATAATCGTAACTACTAGCATGAACACATATACTGCATACTACATAGGACCTAAGTCCATAACACATAACACAAAGACATGCTTGAATCATAAAGACCTCAAGCACACTGAACTACTGCATCGGTCCGAAGTCCGGAACTACTGCTAACTAAACGGGTCGGCATTGTGGCCGTAGACCCGTTCCTACTCGAAAGAAAACTCACCTCGTAACACTGGCTGCTGAGATGCTAAATCTGAAACTGGCTGACTGCTGCTCCGGAACTCCCCGGCTACAAATTCCATAAACACTAAATCAGATACTGATAACTATTCTCAGGGTAAAATTACTAATTTAGCCTTGGTCCAAGTCAACCTCCTGGTAAAAGTCAACTTTCAGTTGACCGGACTCGCCGAGTTGGGCCGCCAACTCGCCGAGTGCCTAACACCTTTTCTAATC